AAAGAATGTCCTAATTTCCAAATTTCACATTCCAAAATAATTTCAAGTATCCAAAAGAATGATTTAGCACAATAGTTGAAATACCAATTCTTGAACTTTTACCACTTGATTTTATCTGAAATAAATGAACAAGATCGATTAGAATAAGATAGAACTGATTTTATAAATTGGAAATGATATTTAAAATTGCATCAGACACAAAAAATACTTATCTTATAAATAATTTCTATAATAATTTCTTAAACCTTATCCTTAATAAATATTATTTCAGGCTACAATTAGAAGCTTTTGTTTCCTTGTTTATTGGAAAATCCTTAATTGGTCCATATAAAAATAATGTCTTGAAATTGGAAAAAACCTAAAAAAAACATAAAATGTCAAAACCAAATCAAAATTTAAAAATAACAATGATATAAATCTTACCTTTTAAACCCAATCTGTTTAGATAAAAGCTTTCTAGATGTACTATATATATAAAAATGAATGGACATTGTTTATTGAATGTATATGAGCAATATTCCGAAACATAATTACATAAAAATATAGTTGTTATTGGCTAAAAATTATATTCCAAAATTGATTTGGAAGGCAATTATTAGAATTGAGAGTCTTTGTAAGTAAATTCTTGAAATCCATGTAGAACATTTATTAAGTACATTTTGTTGCTGAATATTTTAGGAAAGTTCTTAAAATTTTTTTCAATCAATGGAAATGCTGAATGAAATATATACATTTGTTATTAAATCTTTCAATTATTTTATACTGTATATTTTTAAATAATTGTCCAATATATTAAAAAAAACTTGCCTGATGTTACTGCAACTGATGAAACTTTGAAGTAGCGAATAAGAATGTATATTTTTTATAAATTTAGTCATATATATAAATATATACATATATAAATGTATACATATATAAATATATACATATATAAACAGGGTGTCCCAGAATTCAACGTCAAGATGAAACCGGGTCCTAAAAAAATATTTAGAAAAAAAATTACCTCACGTTGTTTGAAAATTATGAGCTTTTAAGTTCAACCTAGAGCTTTGGTGAAATTATGACCATTTTTCGGTTATTGTGGTTAATTTTTATTAATTTTGCTCATTTAAACTTTGGAACAGTAACAATGAATAACATTTCTAGGACCACAGTAAAAAATAATACCACAATGTCCCAAGTTTTCAAGAACTAAGACTTTTTATCCTCCTTTAAAAAAAACGTACTAAAGTGTATCAGCAAGTTTTTGATGGTTTCATAATAAAAACGAATAGAATAAAAAAAAATAAAAATCTAATAACTCACTAATTTTTTCTAGTGCTGTGTTGTCCTGGGAAACTTTGCTGAAAAAACCACAGCTTGGAAGTAAATCGAAAATCGACGGATTTTCAATACAATAGAATTTTTTTTTATTATGAACAGAGTGAAGATTTTTGTCAGCAACTCTGTTAACATAATAATTAATGAATCATATATAATAATTGTTAAATAAAATAAATAAATGTAATAATAAACTATACAGCTCTTACATAAATTCATTCAATAAAAAATATATATAACATAACTTTGTAATATCATTTATAAAAGAAGTTACACTAGAATGAGTTCCAGAATGCCAGATTCATGTAGAAAAGCTTCTAGTATTTGTTTCTACCTAAGACAAAAATAATTTTCAAAATTTCATATTTTTTTCATCAAGTACAAATTTCTATTCGGAGCTTTTAATATTTTCAGTTAAAAAAATTACATTTATTTTCATTTTCAATTTTTTAAACAATGCATTTAAATTTGTGTATAATAATAAGTTTTATTTAATAACATTTTTTATATGACTTCATCGATTTAAAAAATCCCTAAAACCTTTGTAATGAAACTTTGTAATTTCATTTATAAAAAACAATCTACAGTCGAATTAATTCTAGAATTCTTGTAGAAAAAATTTTAGCCTTTGACCTTTGAAACAAAAATAATTTTCATTTTTTTTTTATCAATTATTTTTAATTCTATGAAAATTTCAGCTTCAAAAAATAGATTTGTAATAATAAATTGTAATAGTAAATTATAAATTTTTTAAATAACTATATTGATGAACAAAATTCCCTAAAATATAACTTTGAAATTTCATTTATGAAAAACTAACTAATGCTACACTCGAATTAATTCTAGAATTCATGTAGAAAAACCACAGATCAATTTTGTAAATAAGACATTGAAGTCTTGATTAAGGAAAATAAATTATAACAAAAAAAAACGTAGAAAAATTCTAGTGTTTAACCTTCCAGACAAAAATAATATTCAGAAATTCATATTTTTTTCAAGTAGAAATCATATTTTCAGCTTCAAAAAAATAGATTTGTAATAATGAATTATAATAATTTTTTACATGACTTCATTGATTAAAAAGAATCCCTAAAACATAACTTTGTAATTTCATTTATGAAAAAAACATTTTACTCTAGAATAATTTTCAGAATTTCATTTTTTTCATCATAGTTTTTTCTATGGAGATTTTTATATTTTCAGCTTCAAAAAATTTGATTTTTTCAATTATTTATACAATACTTTTGAATTTGTGTATAATAGTAAGTTTTTTTTTAATAATATCCTTCACATGACGTCATCGATTCAAAAAAAATCCTGAAACCTAACATTGTAATTTCATTTATGAAAAATATTCTACAATTGAATTAATACTAAAATTCATGAAGAAAAAATTCTAGTATATGACTTTAAGACAAAAATAATTTCTAAAATTTCATATTTTTTTCATCAAGTAGAAATTTCTATGAAGATTGTTATATTTTCAACTTTAAAAAAATTAATTTATCCCATTTTTTTAATACAATATTACAAATTTTTATTTAATAAAAATTTGAAAAGAATATAAATAGAATAATTTATTCTGGGTTCATTTTTTTTTAAATTTCTAATTTGTTAATTTATACTTTCAAATAAATTTCATTAAGTTCTTCAGGATCTTTCATATATAATTGGGTACGATTTAATAAAAAATATCAAAAATATTTAAAATATATAATAAAATAAAATCATATTCGAATCAAACCTTCAAATGTAGTTACTTAAATAATGCATTTTTATTATATTTAACTAGGATTCCACAAAATCAATGATAAATATGGATCATCATCATCATCATTACAATAATAGACTTTCTTATATATTTATAATCAATTATTAATCAATTGCAGACTATTCAACAATTGTACATCATGAATAGTGATACATTTTATTTAAAAAAAATGTATGCATTTGTTATATTTTTTCAACACAAATATATATATATTATTCTGTTTATATATATTTATATATAGAGTTGTTAGTAATTGTGACAAGTAAAGCAATAATCTTATTTGTAAGTTCAAATACGACCATTAAAATTTTAGTTTTATGTACACAATATTACATTTTGATTTTTTGTGACAGAAATATTCAGATCTGGTAAAGGAAATATATATATATATATATATATATATATATATATATACTTTTAGATTCAGTATTTATCCACAAAAGCTACAACAATATAGCAGGTGCTTCAAAAAACCCTAAATAATCTTATTTTTAGAACACTGATGGCAAATATCTTATGAATTTCACCTAAAATTGACAAATTTACAAACAGATTGGTCAATTGGTGATGGTAATGGTGCAGATCTAAAAATTTCATCTAATGTAAAAGAATTTCTTCTACTGAAGGTAAAGGACGTCCATCCTAACCAAGTTCCAAGTAAGTATATTGTTTTTTTTATTCTAATTCGAAAACAAAAATGTCTACGACATTCGATCGAGTTAAAACCTTTGAATACTATCACATTCTACGAATGAAGTAAATAAATATTGTTTTCTCGAAAAAAAAAACGACATTTACAGTAGTTGACATAAATTCTTACACTAAAAACATTCGTACTGATTTGGAAAAAAAATTGGAGTTAAAAAATCCATTTTTTTTCTCCAAAATCCTCATCCATTCGCTAGCTACCAATTAAAAAAAATCCTCACAATAAATTTGCTTTGTACATTATTTTTTTAATATGAATATCGATAATATAAATACTATTTATCATTTTTTTTGTTTTGTTTTACAAACATTATCTTATGAAAAAATAAGACTCTTCTTTCATACGTTATTTTATTTAATAAACAACGTGTTAATATATTATTTAATTTTAATATATTAGATTCTTAACGTTTTTTTTTATGTAAATCCATCTATTTAATTTAATTTATTTATACATTAATGCAAGTGTTGTGTGTTGTTTTAAAAAAAATTATTTCTAGAACAAAGCTTAGAAGTAGATATTATTTTGTTGTTTAATGATTAATAAATATAATAATAATTAATAATACTTATACAAACACCTTTGATCAATTTTTCGGTAAGCCGGATAAAGGATATAAAAATAAGGTAAAAAAAATTTACTCTTTGATATATATATATATATATATATATATATATACATATATATATATATTTATATATATTATAAATTTTACAAAATCAAAATTTAGTTCGTTCCAAATTAAAAAAAATGCAAACTTGTCCATTGTTTGCGATCGCAACAGAAGAATGCAATTTATGAAAATAAAAATATCAAAAACTTTAATAAATAAACCCTTTCCAATTGCGAATTGCGAATTTAATACGAATTTTGTCGCCGGAGCGGTGGCATCCGAGTAGAAAGGGTTAAAAATAAAATATTCATAAAATAAAAAATACACAATTTTGATCCGTTTACATATCTTCTGGATAGTTTAAATCTCCATAAAAAACGAAATTTAACGAACAAAAAAATCCGGAAAGAAAGCTTGAAATAATCATTTTTTGATGGAAGAAAATTCAAATAAAAAAGTAAAAAAACTGAAAGATTTAAGTCTGAAATTAACACGTTTCAATTTCCACCAAAACAAAAGTATTACAGAAAATAATAACAAACTTACACCTGGAGTGGCTGAAACGTTTTTGAATGAAATGTTGATTGTTAATATTCCTGGTCAGCCTCCAAATGTCCTTTGCCAATCTTGATATATCCTTGGTCGACCTTGAAATGACCTTGGTTAACCTTGAAATGTCCTTGGTCAACCTTCAAATGACCTTGGACGATCTTCAAATGACCTTGGACGATCTTCAAATGACCTTGGTCAACCTGTGGACACTTCTGGTCAACCTTTGAACATTCTTCGTTTTGATTTCTCGTTGATGAAAATCCTGGACTATCTTATAACCAATAATAACACCAAAGATTTTAATTCAGTGAATTTATGATCCCAAAAGAAATTTTGAAAAAATCATCAATAATAACTCCGTGATTTGAAATTTAGTGAGATTGTGATCCAACAAATTCATGATGCAAAATAGCATTTGCAAAAATTTCAAGAATTTTTGAATTTATCCTAGATAATCAACAAAAACTATGATGATTAAAAATGACAAAATCTATATAATCATAAATCCTTATTCATTTATCCTTTACGAAAGCCAATTGTTTCCAGCTTACATAAAAATTAATCAGTGGCTTACAGGCGTCATAATATTATCATTCATACTCACTACCATCACTTTACTTCAAAATATATATGTATATATAATATATTAAGAACAAAAATGCACCAAACTAAAATTAATCACAAAAGGATTAAAAGTCAAAGATAATTTAAGGAAATAAATTATCATCTTGTTGAACCGAATTCATAATTTTCTTAAATTATATTTCCAAATAAAGTTGGAATCGAAATGATAAAATCAAGCAATAATTTTAATATTTAGTGCATTTTTATAAAGATTGTCAAGAATATTATTCGCATATAACAAATATTTAAGGTGTTGATGGAATTGGAGCTTTCTGGATCGCAAAAAATCTGGGTAAATTTACTAAATTGTAAAAGTTGTAAAATGAAAAATTAAATGTGTATAAAGATTTCTATGAAGATATTCGGTGGTACTTGCTCAGTAAAATTTTTGTTAAAACTATGTTAAGTCCAAGCTTTAAATAGTGTTTTCCTGATCAGCTGAATAACTTCAGAACAGGTAAATTTTTAAGTACAAAAAATTGTGAACAAGAAGGAATTAAATTTGAAGATTTCTGTAAAGTTGACCGATTGATTATTCTTGATCAGTAATACGAAAGAAAAAATAACTTCCAATTAAAATGTGTATTCAGTCAAGTATAACACGTTGACTGTCAAGGCAATATTAAAGAGTCTGTCCAAAAATGACTATTCGATTTTTTTCATATCGTTTCAGTAGTTGGCGTTCTAGAAAACACTGCACAGAATATTTGGTTGGCTGTCAACGTGTCAAAAGTTTGATTTTTCCAAACATGTATTGTAAATATGCACGAATAATATCCTCAACTATTCAATTTATACAAAAAATTATATGCTAATATATTAAGAAACAAAATTGTTATTCATATTTGACCAAATGGAGTAAACTAAATCCTGCACAAACGGAATAAAAGTCAAGAATAAAATATTTAAAAAAATCATCATTTTGTTGAAAATAAGTGTTGAACCAGGATTATATTTTATCCCAAATTAAGCTTGGGATAGTAATTATGAATTAAAACAATATTTACATTGTTTAGTGCATTTTTAGAAATAGTTAAGGATATCATTTGCATATAATAATATTTAAGGTGTTGATAGAATTGAAGCCTTAGTGATCACAAAAAATCTGGGTAAATTTACTGAATTATAAATGAGGGCTTTAAAATAAAAAAATTAAAAGTGTATAAAGATTTCTATGAAGATATTCGATGGTACTTGCTCAGTAATTTTTTTGTAAAAGCTATATTAAACTATAAACTATATTAAAACCTTTAAATGGCGCTTTCTTGATCAGCAAAATAACCTCATGACAGGTAAATTATGAATAACAAAAAATTGTGAACAAGAAAAAATTAGATTTGAAGATTTCTATGAAGATAACCAATTGATTATTATTGATTAGTAAAATGAGTTTGTTTCATTAAAAACTATTATAAGTACCAGATGTATTTTCTTAGTACCTAATATACTTTCTAATTTCTTTTTTGGCAAGTTATCCTGATTCAAAAAAAGAAATCCCAAGGAAAATGACTGATCAAAAAAATAAACAACTCACAGTTCAAAATTGTATACAGTCATGTGTAACACGTTGACTGCCAAGACAATATTAAAGAGTCTGTCCAAAAATGACTATTCGATTTTTTTTAATGACTGAACGAAAAAAATTAAAAAACTCCCAATTCAAAATTGTATACAGTCATGTGTAACACGTTGACTGCCAATGCAATATCAAAGAGTCTGCCAAGACAATATTAAAGAGTCTGTTCAAAAATGACTATTCGATTTTTTTTAATGACTGAACGAAAAAAATTAAATGACTCCCAAATCAAAATTGTATACAGTCATGTGTAACACGTTGAATGCCAAGGTAATATTAAAGAGTCTTGTCCAAAAATGACTATGTGAATTTTTTTATCATTACGAGATAACTCGTAGTTGTCGCTCTAGAAAATACAAAATATTTGGTTGGGAGTCAATGTACAAAATATTTGGTTGGGAGTCAATGTGTAAAAAAAATTAAACGTCCAAATTAAAGAGTTTGCAATTAAAACTAGATAACTCTTAGTAGGCGCTCTAGAAAGTAATGCATTATAACTTATTTGGTTGGCAGCCAACGTGTCAAAAAAACTTTTTTTTCCAAACATGTCTTATACATAAGCACGAATAATATCCTCAACTATCTCAAACCAAATAGCTTTCGTCATAAACTTAAAAAAAATCATCCACTCTCATCCACGCACCAAAAAAGCTGCCAGACACTTCCCCACTCAACATCCCCAATCTTAACCTAATTTTAATATTTATACCTATATATATAGCTCTAATTAAATTAAATTAAAAAATAAAAAATAAAAATTAAAAAATAAAAACACAATATTCGTCATCCCCTCTCAGCAACCACCAGTCCTCCTCCTCCATAGATTTTATTGAATAACGCAGCACTTGCATTTGGGTTTTTTCTTCAGAACCACCAGTTCGGCCTGCTGGGGCGTCGACTGTTGGGGCACAGTGCCCCTCTGGACCGCCACTGGTGAACTTGCACCCCCTTTTGCGGGACTCGTCGCCGCTGTGCCGTTTTTGCCGGTTGGGGATGAGGCGGTTGTCGCAGGGACTGCACTGGACAGCGTCTGGTGATAGATAATTGGAGGAAATAGAAGAAAGTTTGAGAAATTTTGGGATTTAGAAAAATAATGGTGATAGATGATAGTTGAATGATGGTTTGTGGGGTTTAAGAATGTTTGGTGTAATATGAATAAAATGGATGATAGTAGATGAAGAAGATGAAAATCTCATAAAATTCAATTATTAATATACTTAATTACAATCTCATCAGTATTGTTACAATTTCAGAAATAAAAATCGGTAAAATAATATTTTGAATAAGATAAAATAAAATTTTATTTACATATTCTTCATATTATCCGTACGAGTAGGTGTTGCAATTAATCAGACATAAAATAGAAAAATCCAAAATATATTTAGCACCCTTTAATATCATTCTATACAGTTCTAATTAAATTTAAATTTTTTATTTTAGAATAATATAGCATGCTTTTAAATATTCGCCTCATTGATGTTATATACAAATGTATTAAAGAGAAATAAAAAATATTTTCAAAATTTACATTACTATTTACGTAATATTATTTAATTTATTCCTAAATATTTTGCTTAAAATAATTACTAGATTTTGCCAAAAAATGTTTCATTTACTCTATTTTTTCTTGATAGCTTCTTGATGATGTGTAAGCAATGACAAAGTTGAATAATAAAAAAAATCTAGCAAAAAATAAAAATATAAGATGAAAAATGTTAAAAATATCAAAATATAAAAATTATTAAAACCATGTCGTTGATTTTATGATTTCGACTAATCTAATTTAGAGTACTCTCTTTTCTAAAATGAGAAGTACCTTGTTTTTTGTATATGTACTTTGTTTTGCAGTATCATTTTCTTTAATATTTTCGTGGCCGGAATTATTTCTGTGCCTGTCGACAAAATTATTGCAATGTTGGACGAATGAATGTAAATATATATGTAAAGCTTATATTTATAAACACACCAATAAAGATGATAAACATCAACAGTATAAAGAATGATACAAGAAATTTCAAAAAATATATATTTTAGATGTCCTAAAAAATTAAAATATGGGTTGAAAAACTTGTGTGGGTTCTAGAAAAACATACACATATAACATAGTTCATAATTATAAAGAGATTTGTTATATATTTTTTCAAAGTAAAATAATGGTTTAATAAGTTAGCGGATTTTTTCATGGAGATTTAATTTTGTTTTTATAAAAATATATGCTGAAAAATATTTAGTCGAATTAAAAGATGAAAACTGCCACAAAAATTTCATATATTCTTAATATCCTCATTTTCAAAGTGATAAAAAATGAGATGTAAATTAAATCTTGTGTTGAATCCTGCACAATTTTAACTGAACCTATTTTAACTAAAATGAAGATACGTTTGCCAATTTCTTCATGAAAATTTCTTTTCAAATTCAGCTTTTTTTTCAACATAGTCAAGCTATAAGGAACAATAATAAACACAAAAATATGCATACCTACATTTTAATAAAAAAACTTGTTTTCTCAAAATTGCAATTAAAATAAACCTAATTATATGAATAAACAAATAAATTTGAATTAACACTTATTTGTTGACAAAATGTATAAATTCAATTCGTTGATTAATTTAATTAATTGGATTTGATTTACCAAATAAAAAAGACAACATAAATTCAAATAGAATCACTTTTCTAAACCTTTTCTAATCCTTCCCGCAGAGTCTGAAGAAAACCAGAGTTTTCAAAAACGAGTAAAAATGATTTAAAAAATGGACACATCATAACCCTTTTGTTTTTGGTTATTCAAATACAAACGTAGATTAATTATTAGGTTAATTATTTTAATTGACAACTGTTTAAAAAATGTACTTAAATGGTGCCAAGTTTTCACCACCAATTTATAAATTTCTGTATAAGATTTGTACAATACTGTTTCATTTGTTTAAATAGACTGAAAATAGATTTTTCTCAAATTTAACAAGATATAAAATATCTAATTAGAAAACACAACATAAATTCAAACGCAATCACATTTTTAAAACTTCTCACAAGGTCTAAAATTTCTACACCAGTGTTTCCCAAAAAAAAGTGAAGATTTAAAAAATGATCTTTTTGATTCAGGTTCAAATGCAAAAGTAGATAATAAATTTAACAAAATTGAAGGTCAAATAAAACAATAAAAAAATTAACAGAAAAACATTTTTTAGAAAATTTCTTATTAAAATCTCACCATTTATATTTAATCAATGCATCATTTATATTTAGCAATAGAGCAAAATAATTTTTACAGGACTAACTAAACAAAATTACGTGGAAAATGGGTCAGTGAAAATTCATTAATGAATGCCATATAAATTTACCCTGAAAAATAAGTTAAAAAAAAATAAGGCAAAAAAATCACATAGAATTAGTGGTGTACGGCATCGAGTCTCAAGGCAAATTGCTCGAACTTCCCATACCAAAAATTATTTTTTTAAAAATATATTAATTTTTTTTTAACTTTGAGAAAAAAAAAATGATTTTTGAACAATCTCAAATTGTTGAAAAAAAAGACTTTTTTAAAAAAAAAATTTTTGGAAAAAATAAAAACGCACAGTCTGAAGTATGCCAAAATGTTCAGAAACCTCTGAAATGTAAAGATATAAATAACGATAAAAAATTTCATTTTCGATTTTTTTGCGATTACTATAACTTACCCCACGTAAAAATTAACAATGTATATAAAAATGTCCGGAAAAATTTGTAAAAAAATTACTTGAAACAAATGTTAATTTAAATTAACATAAATAATTTAAATTAACATAAATGTTGAATTTGGTGGCCTAAAAGAATTGGGCAACACGGCTCCGTACGATTCATTTAAAAAAGACGTACTTTCATTGCATCCTTAAAGAGTATTTGTTATTTTAAAATCATAATACAGTTTTTAGCATACACCCCTCCCCCCGTCCCGGACTAGCATAACTAAAAATTACCGCTACTGTTTTGACTTGAAAAAATATGATCACCTTATAATAACATATAAAATTATCATGTATAAAATAATTCGAAAAAATGTGTCATAGTTCTAATTTCCAAAAAAAAATCACATATAAAATAAAATATTTTAAAATAAATCTTAAAGTGGTCTGAAAAATTTTCAAGAACTTCAAATATAAAGCAAAAATTTTATGATAAAAATTTATATGCAGCCACATTTAAAGTTATTTATTTAAATTTATGTTATTATTTATCAATATTATTAGATTTTAATTATTTAACAGTTGTAATAATTATTGAAATTAAAAAAAAAAAATATATAAAGTCGGATATAATATTTCCACCATAACCATTGACAATTATAATTACAATTCATCAAATCTTTCCCTACCGTGGCATTGTCCTTCTTGATCAGGCCGCCTCCGTTGGTGGCGGGAGATCCGTCCGTGACGGTGGCCGCGTTGCCGTTGGCAACGGCACCACCGGGCGAAGAGGAATTGTTCGACAGGGCCGAAGAGTTCAGCAGGGTGCTCGGCGGTTCGCCCGCCACCGGAGTGATCGGCTGACCGCCTTTGATTAGGGATACTATGGCATCGGCTTCGCGGGAGAGCTCGCCGTCTGGTCGGAAAGGGTTGTCCCACCCTGACTCGTTACTAGAAGAAAAAAGAAGACAAGTAATTGATTGCACATTGAAGAGTACTTGTTTTATATTGGTCCCAGAGACAGGACCGAATTTAAATTTATGCCGTCTCTGGACACTAACAAAAATGGCGTTCTATCATTTATCATCGCCTTGCATAAATCAACTTCCATTTTAGGGAATTAAGTAGTGGTAAAATCTACAATATGACTTACACTAGCACTGATTGGTATTACAGAAGCTACTTTTGGGTTTATAGATACAATAAACAATTTACATATAATTTTTGTCTTCACCTCTTGTCATTTCCCCAGGCTTCAGACCTTGGCACTGCTACCACATAATAAACCAGTCCGCCATGACTGGCGGCGGCACTGTTAGGCCTTGGAGTAATACTCATTTTCGGAAAATTTTCATTTTCGCACTAGTTTTTGTTTATAATAATTAATATATTGATATCTTTTAAAAAAAGTCCCGTATCACTTGTTATTGACATAGAAACATTTTGGTCACTTTCAATAATCCTAATAGTTGCAAAAATATTAGTAACTTTATTTTACTGATATTAATGATAATCATATCTACAGATAAATAAAAATAAGTCGGGTTTTCCTTCCTGGCGATATAACTCCAGAACGCACGAACCGAATTCGACAATTTTGCATTCCTTGGAAAGGTCTCGGGCTCCACAAGGGTTTATAGCTAAGAAAATTAGTGGTGCATGGCATCGAGTAATACATTAGGGAGAATTATCAGAATTTTCCTGGGTAAGTCAACGAGCAATTCTTGCCGAAAAGAATAATGATGTACACGCACTGAATTTCACCATTCAATCAAAAATTGCTGGCGATTTGGTGACATACCAATGATTCCGACTGGTCTTCCGTTTGACTTCAAACGATTGCAATTTCCATAAGTTCGCCTTGCGTTCGCAATGACAATTAACAAGTCGCAAGGCCAAACGCTTAGTTTTTGCGGGATAAATTTCAAATAGATTATTTAGAAAATCATTGTTTTTCACATGAGCAGTTATACGTTGCCTGTTCACGAGTTGGAAAACCATCCACTTTGTTTGTGTTAACGTCAGACCAAAAGACAAAAAATGTGGTTTACCAAAGAGCACTTCAATAAAACGGATAATTGGCGGATTCACTTTCATTTACTTAGAGAAGTTCAACTAAAAAACACTTCATTTTTGTAATCGAAATAAATTCATCACTGTTTTGTAAAAAAAAACAAATTTTTCCTTTTCAAATATAAAACAAACAAAAAATTTCTTCACGAAACCATCTGGCGGCGAAACGGAGTTCGTGAGGTTTGCTAATATATATATATATATATATATATATATATATATATATATGTGTGTGTGTGTGTGTGTGTGTGTGTGTGTATTTAAGTAATGGCACATTATGATATTTCTATGGTCAACTATGATGACAATGCACAACGGTTAATTTCCGGCCAACCTAGCAGGAAACGATTAGATACCAATAATTGATCGAATTCGGTCAACTTTTGACGAAAATACAAATTATGGAATTTACAAACTAGGCGTAAGTGGCATTTTGTTTTGAGACAAGTTGCATGGACTTTCTAATATGTATAAGAATTGACCTAATCCATAAGAATTGAGATTCGGATATTTAGGTAAGATTTTAGCTTCGTAAATGCAGTTTTTACTTTCACTTTTTAATTAATGCGTTTTTCAATTGATATTTTTCCAAAAAACTTATAAAATATGTCATTGTATTAATTATAGTACTCAGACACGCGCCTGTATGTCTTAAATACGCAGAACATTATTAAGAACTTCACAGAATTTTTATAATTCTACCGCACTTTTTGTAGAAATATAATATTTTGACATTTGTTTCGACCATAAACCCTAACGACGCATTGAGTTTCATTAAAATAACAAAAAAAAAAAAAATTCTAAACATTTAATTACCAAGAAAAGTCCAGGTCGAACTTTACTAAAAACTAATCAGCACGATTCCAGAATGATAACCCAAATACACTTATATAAAACACACTTATATAAAACTTCTTAAAATTTATACTTTTGGATAAGAACAAAAGAAATAACATATTTGATCAATAAATGTAAAATACTTGTATATTATCAAATCGATCATAATGTAGTAAAACCCCGTTAAAACGATTTTCCAGGCATTGGTTAAAAAACAAGTCTTGTGCTGAAAAACCTATCAAGGGCGATATAAATTTTATGTCCCATGAAGCTATGACCTTGTCATATCATATTATCAATGGCGTATTATGCGGGAAATCGTATTAGGCACAACTGGGATTCTACTCTGCATTTGTTTATCAAATAAAAATCTCATTTTATAACTTTATGCATTATTTTCGGCGCATAAAATAAAGTCCCCCCATGAGTTTATGATCGTGCGGGAAGTGTTCTGTAAAAATAATATTTAATGACACACAGAATCGTATCAGAAAACATTAAAACTTTTAATAATATGTCATAAAATTGTATAATATCGAATATTTATGGACGTTGGATTTATGAATCTATATTATTTTATTTATTTCTTAATAATAGAATCATTTCGTAAAATCTTGGACAGTGCTATTTTAAGTTTTCATACAGTAGACAGTGCTAACAAACTTCTTATTATTTACTTATTATTTTATTATAATAACTTACGTTAAATATAATAATTATTTAATTGAACCATATTGATAAATGATGCTAATATTTTCAAGTTAATAATAATATTTTTTTATGACACTTATCAATTCAATGGACCTCTCCTGAATCTGGTTACATTTCAAAATTTTAATATAAAACCTAGATTTTTAATTTTTTTATATATTACCATTTATTTTGACTCATTATAATGTGTATGTTACATTTCGAGAGACCTGACAGAATTTTTCGAAAACGATGCTCATTGGAATGTTTTACTCGTTGATGCTTCAACTACATCTCATCTTTCTTCATGTAAAAGAACATAATTTTTGTTTTATACAACTAGTTATTTTATATATTATTTATTACTATTTATGATGGTGTTTTGATTAAAATTTGGCACTGGATTCTCTGTTTTCTGGGGGGCTATTAAGGCAAAAATACAGCTTCAATTGGCCATGTCCTCGCTTTTCAATTAGCGAACGATAAACAACTCAAATTGTTTTTTGCAAGCAAATATTAGAGCGTTGTTTTGCCAACAAATATTACAACTTAATTTGAAAAAATATATACAAAGATGTTCATTGTTGGCATAATAAATTATATATTTTGTAGTGAGAAACGAATATTATGTAAAAAATTTAATTTTGTTGCCAAATATTACAAACTCATTTAAAAAGCAATATACAGAAGTATTGATTATGGATTAAGTCTTGGCAGCAAACGCTTTAAAGTTAAATAAACATTAAATTAGTAAAAGTTTTCGAAATAAACAGTTGTAAATTGTAGATAAATAGCAGAATCTCAATTTCCGTTGATTAAGACGTATTAGAAATTTTATGAAACTTGCCTTAAGGTAAAATAAAACACCTAGACACTATTTCTAATTATAGATTCTAATATATCCAAGTCTGAGAATAACAGTCGATATTCAGAGTTGTTTGTAAATGTTTAAAAAAAAAATCCAAAAGCACAGTTTATTTTCTTTTTCATAATTTTAAGATTCTGTTGTCTTGTTTTTAGTGTTGTCCACAAATTTAGAGACTGAAAAAAATGTTATCTATTCTTATAATTATTATATATTCTTAAGGCTTAATATAGAGCATCATAGTCGATATTATTCAGAGTTGTTTAAAATCCAAAAGCACAGTTTAATTTCTTTTTCATAATTTTAGGATTTTGTTATCTTGTTTTTAGTTTTGTCCAGAAATTTAGAGACACAAAAAAATATTAACTATTCTTATAATTATTATATATTCTTAAGTCTCAATATTGAGAATCCGAATCGATATTATTCAGAGTTGTTTGTAAATGTTTTAAAAAATATCCAAAAGTAGTTTATTTTTGTTTTCATAATTCAAGGCTTTTGTTGTCTTGTTTTTAGTGTTGCCCAAAAATTGTAGAGATCTCAAAAGCAAACTTTATCATTTATTCTTATAGGTTTTTATATCTTTTCATTGACATCAAAACGGTTTGACAAATCTCTTTCTTAATTTTAATATAACCAAGTGTTAAAGAATTTCAAAAGCAAAATTCTATCTAGAGGTTAATTTTTTTTCTCATTTATAAGAGTTTTTACTATTTATTATTAAATCCTAATATTTCCAACTCCTAATTATAAAAACTATAGCCAATAAAATTCAGAGCTGTAAATGTTTTAAAAAACGACAAAGTGAAATTTTATATTTTAGTATTTTACAATTTTGTGGTGTTGTTTTCAGTCGTGGCAAAATTTTTAGAGATCCAATAGAAAAGCCAACTTAATTTTGTATTTTTCAGGAATTCTTATATCTTGTTTTCATTGAAATAAACGATTTTGACTATTACCTATCTCAAGAATCGAATATATCAAAGTCTAATAATACAAGTTATTTTAGTATTCTACCTAAATTCTAGTATATCCAAATCCTAATAATGAGAATTAAAGACGATATGACTTAATTTCTTAATGTTTTAAAATAAATCCAGAAGCTTGTACTTTATTTTTCATTATTTTAGAATTTAGTAGATAGTCTTGTTTCTAGTCGAGGCAAAATTTTTATCGATTCCTAATGGTAACTTTTTTTAAAAAAAATATATCAATATATAAATTGAAAAAAAAATAAATTGAAAATCATATAGAATGTAATGAGAGACTTGATTATGATTACAAAAATCTCCAGGAAAAGTTCGATGAATATACGAAAGCTCCTTTAATTTTAGTAGATGACCAACTGTCAAAAAAATCCAAAAGCAAACTTTTTTTTTCAATTACAGTAGTTTTTACTATTTATATCTAGATAAAGTGCTAATATTGAGAATTATAGGCGATGTGGTTCAGAGTTGTAAATGTTTTCAAAAAAAAAAAAAAATCT